ACATGATTTTCAAGTATATACCTCAATATGTAAGCAAATATATAGATATAGATCCGACAGTATGAAGAAAAATATATAGAAAAAAACAAACAAAAATCTTAATATTCAATTATGCTGTATTAATGTTAATATAAAGTCAACGTCGGACGTTTCGGTCTATTTTAGACCATCTTCAGGACATTTTCATTTAAACATAATTAACATTAGGACATATAAAATTCAACATGAAAAGACGATGGACATAAGAGCACAACTAATCCAAACAGATAACTGAAATTTTTATATAAGATCAGCGTTCCGTTTAAATATGATCACGTCGTCGTCACGTGGGCGATGTTGTGAAAACGTATTGATCTCTGCGTATTCCTATATCAACGGAAGGAATTTCTTGAACTGTTTATATAAAATAGTTCAATCGACCTTTTTTAATATTTTGAAATCATCTTGAAATACGTTTAATAAGTTTAAAGTCAGCCCACCCGAAAATCAATATTAGTAACAACAATTGGGTGCAACTGAGGCACATACCCGAATGGGGGGTTAACAATTTGAATAGGGGGTGGCCCTGAAATGGGCCGTCTTTGCGTTCTTAATCTTGCAAGGAAGGAACCTCTTCCATGGACCGTCCTAATAATAATATACGATAATTTTTTTATTTATAATATAATTGTTTTTTTATAATTCTAATAATCTTTTGCGTTAGATTTCAACTCTCTAAATTGATTGTACGCTGTTTTTTACAGACATTAAATTTTGCCTTTGATTTTCGCGCTAAGTGTAAAAAATTAGTTTTTTCGATTTTTCACCTTCAAAGTTGTCATTTTTTTCCAGCCCATTTGGACTCAAAACTGGCACTGGAGAATTATCTCTGAAAAAAAATAATCGAAATTGGATGAAATCTGTGGAAACGCATAAACAACATCCGATCACATACACACATACATACAAATACACATTTTGAGAATTATATATATATATATATATATATATATGCAAATATTTACTTTGTTGCTTTAACCCTTTGAGCCCTGTGTTCCTGAACAATTTTAACCCTTCCGCCTGATCTCCTGAGTCAAAATTCGCAAATAATTGGTAATGTAATGTTTCACGGTAGATATAAAAATAGTTACAAGTGTTTACCCACCGTTCAGCCGGTGGCTGGGCATTAAGTCATTTTTCTCTACCACCGTTCAACCGGTGACTGGACATTACATCATTTTTCTCTACCACCGTTTAACCGGTGGCTGGACATTACGTCATTTTTTCTCTACCACCGTTCAACCGGTAGCTGGACATTACATCATTTTTCTCTACCACCGTTCAACCGGTGGCTGGATATTACATCATTTTTCTCTACCACCGTTCAACCGGTGGCTGGACATTACGTCATTTTCTCTACCACCGTTCAACCGGTGGCTGGACATTACGTCATTTTTCTCTACCACCGTTCAACCGGTGGCTGGACATTACGTCATTTTTCTACTGCCGGTAAAGCGGTGGTCAGGACTCAGGTTAATAATATAACATAATAAATCAATTAAAATATTAATTAAAAATATTAACTAAGATATTATAATTTAATTAATAATAAGAATTAACAAATATTATAATTCATTTGAGTGGCTCTTGGTCCCTGGATTAGTTTTAAAAGTGCATTTGAATTTCAGAGAATTTCTGTTCGCGTTTCCCACATTTTTGTTCTCAACTATTTTTCCGTACCTCGATTTAAAAAGCAGTCAGTTATTCTTTTTCTTTTCTCTTTCGCATTCTTTTTCTTGTTTAAAACTGTTCGTTGGCCTTCTTGGGGTGGAAAAGCAGAGAAAGGGGAGAAAAAAAAATGAAAACTCATCATCTGAGCGAGCCCCACCTTTACACTTGAGATGAACCCGGATAAAACAAGGGTCTTTCGCTAGACACTTTACCATTTGTAAAAAAAAAAAAAAATTGATAAGATCTTGGTGCGCCAGAACCAATCTTGTGACATTCCTCGTTTCCCCGCGACCGACACACACCCGCAGAAAAATGCGGGGAGGGGTTTGAAAAATACTATATCCGATGCGAATAAGAAAGTACATCCTTAGCGAATCCTTTTATATGTCGCGCTGGACAAAGAAGTGTCTTGTGTTTGTCGCATGAAGTTCACAACAAATGAATAGTATCTTTTTCGACAAATTTTCTCAGAGTCCGACGTCTTTTCACCACCTTGGATAAGTATTGTACTTCTATGTCACTTGAACTCTTCGAATACATCTGTTGATATCATTATCAATTCTATCAATTTTGTAATGATAAAAGTACACGTGACAGCGTTTGTATGTCATTTAAACACACACAAACACTTCAGGTCCTTACAACGTTTTCACCAGTCTTAACAGATCTTCTGTTCTCGTAATTCGCCTTCGGATTTTAGTGTTTCACATTCCGTCGCTGTTAAAAGACGCCCTAGATATTTAAAGTGTTTTGACAGAGGACGCAAAGTATTGGGATATCCAAAGTTGCCTTCAAGAAGCCAAGCAGAAAAACTTCGTTTGAAACTAAGAAAAGAGTACTGAACTGTTATGTAATATCAGTCCTCCTATATGGCAATGAATGCTGGACAACCTCTACAAAGACGAAGAAGAGCCTTGAAGCAAGAGAAACAAAGAAAAGAGGACTGAACTGTTACGTAATATCAGTCCTCTTATATGGCAATGAATGCTGGACAATCTCCTCACAGATGAAGAAGAGACTTGAAGCAAGAGAAACAAAGAAAAGAGTACTGAACTGTTATGTAATATCTGTTCTCCTATATGGCAGTGAATGCTGGACAATCGATTATGTGAACATTGTTCGAACATAATATCCAAAGAAAATACAAAATAAAGGAAACCAAAAATAAAGTACAGTGTAACCCGGATATAAGAGAGTTGTCGGGACCGGATAAGAAGTCTCTTATATCCGGGTTTCTCTTATATCCGGGTTTGGTCTATTTTATATACATTAACACAGGCTCTAATTTGGGACCAGAGAAAATCTCTCTCATATCCGGGTTTCTCTTATATCCGGGTTACACTGTATTAGCAACATTAAATAATGTTAAATATTCAAAATTTTAAAATTAAAAATTAAAATGAGATATTCAGTTATTATGGTAAAACGAAACATGCTCACATCGTTCGGGTTCGAGTAAGGCTAGTTTTTTGTTTCTTCTTCTTCTTCTTCTTCTTCTTCTTCTTCTTCTTCTCCTCCGCCTTCTTCTTTTTCTTCTTTTTCTTCTTCTCTTCCTCCTCCTTCTTCTTCTTCTTCTTCTTCTTCTAAAGTCACCTTACATCGATGAATCTAATTATTCGCCTCACTTCCGGTCTAGTTTTCATCCGCCATGATCCATGACGACGTGTTATATATTCTTCCCACCAACGCAACCAAACAAGGACTGAATTGTCAGCGGAATGTATTTTTAAAAAAAAACTGCGAGCCTGTCTTATTTGACTCTAGACGAGTCTAGCTTAGTCTCCCTCTTGCCGATTATAAACTGGTGTAGACCTGAAATGCCGGCGAAAACATTCTAAATAAGTCGCTGTTGCTATGTCGTGGGAAGTCGACCGTAGAGTGCAAAGCGAAAACGAGACCAGGTAAACGAAAACGTTTTAACAACATACAACTATGTAACTAAAAAGACAGATCTTTGATACAAAGATTCACCTGACGCACAGGAAATAGAATAAAAAGGAATGCATATCACAAAACTATTAACGTGATGAATCGATCAGCAATGGCCAAAGTCAGAATATTTTTTTGTTTGTTGTTTCTTTTTATGCATCTAGTCTTGTTCGAGAATCTGGAAGTAGAATAGGCATTATCGACCATTATCGACTCGGAAAGTGGACTTGACGTGTCGAGTTCAAATTCCAGCCGGTGCCATTGCGTTAGGATTTGGAAGAAGACTCTTGGAAAAGACACGAGCCTTACGACCAGATCACAATAAAACCCCGGTTACCTCCCGATCACCGGAGTCAAGCAACGTCAAGTAGACGGATAACCGTTTCGGAATACCGGGTACTGCTTGGATGTACATTTGCTATGCCTTACCGCGATATCACGTTGAAACATCAGTTCCCGTACATTCACCAAAGTTAAGCAACATCAAGCCTGATCAGTACCTAGATGAGTGACCTCTCGATAATACCAGATACTGCTTCGGTGTACAGGTAGTATGGTTTACACCTATATTACGCTTAAAAACCGGGTCCCGTACGTTCACCAAAAGTTAAGCAACATCAAGCCTGGTCAGTACCTAGATGAGTGACCTCTCGATAATACCAGATACTGCTTCGGTGTACAGGTAGTATGGTTTACACCTATATTACGCTTAAAAACCGGGTCCCGTACGTTCACCAAAGTTAAGCAACATCAAGCCTGGTCAGTACCTAGATGAGTGACCTCTCGATAATACCAGATACTGCTTCGGTGTACAGGTAGTATGGTTTACGCCTATATTACGCTTAAAAACCGGGTCCCGTACGTTCACCAAAGTTAAGCAACATCAAGCCTGGTCAGTACCTAGATGAGTGACCTCTCGATAATACCAGATACTGCTTCGGTGTACAGGTAGTATGGTTTACGCCTATATTACGCTTAAAAACCGGGTCCCGTACGTTCACCAAAGTTAAGCAACATCAAGCCTGGTCAGTACCTAGATGAGTGACCTCTCGATAATACCAGATACTGCTTGGGTGTACAGGTAGTATGGTTTACGCCTATATTACGCTTAAAAACCGGGTCCCGTACGTTCACCAAAGTTAAGCAACATCAAGCCTGGTCAGTACCTAGATGAGTGACCTCTCGATAATACCAGATACTGCTTGGGTGTACAGGTAGTATGGTTTATACCTATATTACGCTTAAAAACCGGGTCCCGTACGTTCACCAAAGTTAAGCAACATCAAGCCTGGTCTGTACTTAGATGAGTGACCTCTCGATAATAACAGATACTGCTTCGGTGTACAGGTAGTATGGTTTTGGCTCATATCGCGTTTAAACACCGGCTCCCGTACGTTCACCAAAGTTAAGCCACGTCGAGCCTGGTCAGTACCTAGATGAGTGACCGCTCGATAATACCGGGTGTTGCTTCGGTGTACAGGTGGTACAGTTTACGACCATATTGCGTTTAAACACCGGTTCCCGTACGTTCACCAAAGTTAAGCAACGTCGAGTCTGGTCAGTACCTAAATAGGTGACCCTTTGGTAATACCAGGTGCTGTAAGACTATATGTGCAGGTGGTATGCATTACGGCCATATCATGTAGAAACACCGGTTCCGGTATGATCAGCGAAGTTAAGCAACATCTACCCTGGTAAGTATCTAAATGGGTGACTGTGAATAGGAGTTGATAGTTTCGCCTATCGCCCGGTTAAACTCCTTCCCTCTCTTTTGAACAAGAATAGAGATCTGTCGCTTGTTTTCCTGTCCTGGGTATGACGATAAACTACATCCGGCAGCAAGGTCATTGATCAGGAGGCTTTGACGAGCGAGGAAACGCCTCCTAATTTCTGTTGTTTCCTGATTCATTCTGACCCAGGATTGTAGCACCTGTTAGGCTCCCAGCTATTAGCAAATAGGGAACTACAAGACTGTAGTCAAAACGCTATGAAAATATTCAAATTTTATAGCACAAAATACTGGCAATACATTTTCATAGTAAAAAAAATTACCAGCGATACATTTGTGTAAGGAAAAAAGATTGCCAGCAATACATTTTTAACAAAATTGCTAATGTTCCCAGAAAATTTAAAATTCCGCATTAAATCATCCATAAAAAATTGATATGCCGCTAAACACTATTTTCCTATTTATTATTAGGGTTCAGACTCCATCTAAATTCTTCTCATTCTTTTCACTCCCAGTAGACAGTTGGGGTTAATTGATAAAAAAAAGAAAAGTAATGCTTGCATTAATTCCTGACCACTGACAATCCCTTCCTTCCTGATTTTCAATGCATTTTTATAGTAAAATCATTAGCAATGCATTTCCATTATACATATAATAGCCCTATTCTATCAGTAATGCTTGCATTCATTCCTGACCACTGACAATCCCTTTCTTCCTGATTTTCAATGCATTTTTATAGTAAAATCATTAGCAATGCATTTCCATTATACATATAATAGCCCTATTCTATCAGTAATGCTTGCATTCATTCCTGACCACTGACAATCCCTTTCTTCCTGATTTTCAATGCATTTTTATAGTAAAATCATTAGTAATGCATTTCCATTATACATATAATAGCCCTATTCTATCAGTAATGCTTGCATTCATTCCTGACCACTGACAATCCCTTTCATCAGTGCCCAAATTATATTGATTTTCCAATTGTAGCTTAGATGTGACCCAAGGCCGAACGTAGGGGACACCCAGTGAGGATCGAACTCACTACTGAATCGTAATTGTTCTAGCGAGACAAGCTTGCTAACCATTACACCGCCTCGATCTATGATACCCCCACCAATCTATGATACGGCCCCCAATCTATGATACGGCCTCCAATCTATGATACGGCCCCCAATCTATGATACCCCCACCAATCTATGATACGGCCCCCAATCTATGATACCCCCACCAATCTATGATACGGCCCCCAATCTATGATACTCCCGCCAACCTATGATACGGCCCCCAATCTATGATATCCCCACCAATATATGATACGGCCCCCAATCTATGATGCCCTCACCAATCTACGATACGGCCGCCAATCTATGATAACCCCACCAATCTATGATACCCCACTAATCTATGATACCGCCCCAATCTATGATACCCCCACGAACATATGATACAGCCCCAATCTATGATGCCCCCACTAATCTATGATACGGCCCCCAATCTATGATACCCCACTAATCTATGATACGCCCCCAATCTATGATACCCCACTAATCTATGATACGGCCCCAATCTATGATACCCCACTAATCTATGATACGGCCCCAATCTATGATACCCCCACTAATCTATGATACGGCCCCCAATTTATGATACCCCTACTAATCTATGTTAGGGCCCCCCAATCTATCATATGGCTCCCACTCTACTGCATCTCAATTTTCATAATGTAGTATTCATATAAAATACAAATGTTATTGCAACCTAATTATGTACAATGATGAATCGTATGCAATATCGATGAACAATTTAACTAAAAAAAAATGAAAATAAATACAAAATAAATACAATGTATGTAAATACATTTTTGAGACATATCATAATACATCATTTCTTCTTAAACAAATCAAGAGTTTTTCGATAAATTTTAATATCAACTTGTGATTTTTCTTGTTAAAAAGTTGAATAATTTTAATACATTCAACATTAGAGATTAAAAAAAATAGTGAATTTTATATAATGTTTTTTTTTTTCGAGACTTATCATTGGCAAAACAAATTCACGGATTTGGACGGAAAAAAAACGAATGACGTCAAAATCCTCGAAAATTTTTTCATCATTTTATAATCTGGTATGCTTAGTTTAAATTGTAACGTATATAAATACTGGTAGAAAAATGCAAATGTTGATAAGATAGCTAGGGTCACAAAGGACTACCCGAGACCCCCAATCAGGCAAGGTCGGTTGAATAAGGTTTTAGAACAGTCCAGCCGAGTTCCCAACATTTTCCGCTGTTATTCTGTCTGCGACATTGGAAGAGAACCATATTTTTTTCTGTAAATCAGCCACTACCGTACATGAACTAAGTTCTATTCACGCACGCCAAATTTATTCTTAACTGATTAATAATCTTTGTTTTAATCATTTCACCCAAAGTAAGGCGATAAAGCCACTAAGACACTCAGAGAGTTGAAATTTTTAGGATATATAATGAGAAAAGAGGGCTTGGAGAATCTAACACTCACAAGACATATAGAAGGCAAAAAAGCAATGTCTAAAGTATCTATTAAGCTTGTGTAGACGCATGGCAAAACAGGGGTTGGAAGGGATAGCAAAAAGCAAACTTTACTACAATGATAGGAAGTTATGGAGAGCCATAACCGCCTGTCTACTAAAGATCATGGCAAATAGAAGAAGCTCGAGGTAAATATTTGAGCCGAGTTAAATGCCAGGAAGTTGTATACTGATGTTCTACGCAAGCAGAACCTCCCCATTTAGAAAATTAGTGATAGAACTGGGCTATATCTTGCATGGGATGCGTACTTTTCTCCAATTTTATATTATCTTAAACTTAATTCTTTTAAATCCTCTTTTTAATTAGACATGATTTTGTTTACACATATATATATATATATATATATATATATATATATATATGTGTGTGTGTGTGTGTGTGTGTGTGTGTGTGTGTAAGCAAATATATGGATATAGATCCGACAGTATGAAGAAAAATATATACGGAAAAAACAAACAAAAATCCTTATATACAATTATGCTGTTTTAATGTTAATATGCCAACGTCGGACGTTTCGGTCTAATAAACCATCTTCAGGACATATTCATAAATTATAACATTATAAATACAACATGACAAAGACGATGTACATAAGAAACAAGACTTATCCAAACAAATAACTGAAAGTTTTATAAGATCAGCGCTACGAAACGTCCGACGTTGACATATTAACATTAAAACAGCATAATTGTATATAAGGATTTTTGTTTGTTTTTTCCGTATATATTTTTCTTCATATATATATATATATATATATATACATCCTTCAAGGAATATTTACCACTGACTTTAACAATTTGTATTTTGAAGTATAAAACTTTTGTTGTTTATAATATAGTAGAATTCCTCATGTCTAGAATTCCTCATATCCGGAATTCCTTATATCTGGAGTGCCACATATCCGGAATCTCTCATATCCGGACATGATTTTGATGTGTATATTTGAAATATTTGGGTGATATGTAACTGATTTGAAATTTCTGTTTTTCAGGAAATTTACTTTGGATAATTGCATATGTTTGTTTCACCCTAATGGCTTGTATTGGTGCAAAAGATGATGGAAATAAGAGGAAAAGAACAACTTTGAAGTTATCGCAAAAAGTGGAAATTTTAAACAGACTAGACGCTGGTGAAAGTTCATTGTAACTAATGGCTGAGTTCACCATAGGAAAGTCAACATTGTATGATATAAAATCTTCCAAAGAAGCTATTCTCCGGTGTTCACACTGTCACAATGAACAAGGAAATAAAAAACATGATTGGGATGAAACCTGGACTGAAATTGAAAAAGCCATTGGAAAGGTTGTCAGTTTTATGGAAAGAAAACTAGCATTCAGCTATGACTATTGCAATAACGCGTGCAGTGTTAAAAATGCCTTTTGTTTAAAAAAAACTTCAAGAACAAAAGTAAAACGAAATTCGGAAAAAGTTGAGAATGACATTAGAAGAGAAAGAATCATCAGGCAACAGCGATTAAAAAATCCTCGTTACATTATTTGTTTTGCATACGTGGCATAATTAATTTAATGAATTTTCATTAACATTAAATAATTTATTTCATTTTCTTTCAAATCAATTCCGTTATATTTCACTCACCATTAGCTTATTTTGTTTACTATAAAACATTGAAAATAAATGTTGAACCTGATTTCAGTTCTTTTATTTTAATCTAAATATAACCCCTCATATCCGGACTTTGTAACCAAATCCTCATATCCGGAAGACCTTCTTAGTCCGGCTGTCAGGGATTCTACTGTACATGATTTATTTCCTATCTATTCTATTGTGTGGGTTAATCTATTCAAGGCCTAAACCCAAACTAAAAAGAATCCGACATCCACCATAAACTGGCGACATCGACGTGATTTTAAACACGGGATACAATTACTTTATATAAAATGTTGACTTCTAACAAAAATTGAATAGAATTTTAATACAACAAAACAAAAAAAAAATATTGAAAGAAAAATTCAAAGCAAAATAACAAATCACTACATATCATTTGATACCAGTAAAATGATTTGTTAATTTGCAGTGTAAGCATCAAACTCACACGGTATCGAAAATGTTCCATTATGGTGTGAAATTGCCTGATTATTTCTAAAATGACATTAAAAGTTTGCGCTCTCTTACCGTTTAGGAGTTATGGACAATGTAAGTTTGACTTCTTTCGCGTCGCGTCGACATTACTGGCTTTGTTTATATACGTTTGTCTCGAGTAGTGATGCGGCGCGGAAGCTTCACTTGTCTTGATTACTACGCAATGAACGAAGTTTAAAATGAATGCGTGATTCCAAATATAG